ACACCCCTATGATACGAGAACTATTTCTCTCTGGTAATACATGCACAGTACCGAGTATTTTGCGAATGGAATGCTCTTGCTTGTAACGAAGCCTGTGATTAGCTCGTGATATTTCGCAAATATTTTCACCGATAACTAATATCAGTCACTAAGATTGTGTTCAAAAGTTTGGGAACATTGCAGTGCTTTGCCCAATGCCAACATTATTGCTTGAAATATATGGTGTTTTTCCTAAAAAAAAAAAAAAAAAAAAAAAAAAAAAAAACTGGAACTGACACAATTAGCAACTTTAGCACAATCAGATAGCCTAACATCAGTGATAACGTTTAATCTCAAATTATCATTATTATTATTTTTTATTATTTATCTATATTATATTATTATTATTATTATTATTATTATTATTTTACAAAAATGCGTTTGAAAAGAAATGTGTATGAATTTTCCTTGCATTTATAAATGTAAACCACATTCATATGAGAAAGTGAAATACGAATCTCTTATTACATGGTCTGTAAAGGTAAATCATAATAATAATAGTTTTCTCTCTTGATTCATTGCCTCTATGCGGCTTCCATATGGAATTTATGAATGACAAACTACCCAATGGCTTAATGGGTTAATGGGTTGTTTATGCTGATGCCTTATGAGAGGTCCAGAATCCACACTCGGTTCACATGGAGTGATCCCCTTAAAAATGATATTAAGATTTGCAGAGAACATTATAGGTGGAATAAAAAATCACAGAATTACAAAAATGAAATATAAGTAGTTGGTATTTTACTGATTCGGCGATGGGTTGTGCATGCGTGTTGACGAGCTGAGAGGACAGGTTGGCAGCCCTGTATGGGAGGAGTTAATAATTGAAATTATTTGAAATTCGACAGTAAAAAAAATTCTAAGAATTGCAAGAAAATGCAGATAAGAACCTCCACATAAAGCCTGATATTTTGAAGATGAGAAGAAAAAATGGTAGTAAAAAGAAACGAAAAATGTATTATTAACTTATTTTTAATGTAAATGCTATTATCTTCCCGCCCACTACCAACCTGCACCCCCAGGTCATCATCTTTATATACCCTTTCCACCCCACCCCACCACAGAAACCCTATATATATATATATATATATATATATATATATATATATATATATATAATATATATATATATTATATGATATCTATGCGCGCGCGCGCGCTGGTGTGTTTATGTGAGTAGTAACCGCGAGAAAAGAAACTGCAGGCAAAAACACCGCAGATAAATATATTGTGAATAGTGAATATTAAAACTTCTGTTTTTGAAACCTTAAAACTCGACCTCCCTAGCTAGTCAAGAACAGATATTGCACATTTCTCGTTCTTCGACATACATAAGTGAAATATTTCAAACTGATTAATTATATCATTAACAATCTATTCAGTTTGAGAGGGTAATTGTTGAAGATCGCGACGCACCCTCCTCCCTCCAAAAGGGGGATGGGGTCCACGCAGAGATTAATTTCCTAAGGGGGGGAAGGGGGGGGTGGTGATGAGGGGGAGAAATCGAGTTCACGAAGCTCCATTGGGGGGGGGGAGACGCACGATGCCAATAACAACCTTTAAAAGTCTAAAATAAAATATAATACCACTTAAACATCTATAAAAAATTGTAATTATATGAAATACGAGCCTAAAATTTATGTCACGGCAACACAACAAAAGGCCGCATGATAAAAAAAAAGCTAAACTTTGCTCCAACAATTCACCAATTGAAACACCGCTAAAGTAAACAAACGCAAACTCGCAATGCGCACAAACCCGATATCCGATATATACAATTTTTTTCACAAACATAAAATGTTATCATGCTAACCAATATAACGAAACATAGAATATCAAATTAATTTCCACCCCTCCGCATTATTCGCACAATGTCAATCTATTTTAAAGAATTATTAAACAATATCAATGTACAGACGAGATGCGGCGTGGAGGAAACTAATGAAATTTTTATTCTCGCCGGATACAACATTTTTAATATGTGTTTGGCAAAGTACCGGCCGAAGTGAAATTGCATCTAACTTTTCATTATTATTATTATTATTTTTTTTTTTTTTTGGGGGGGGGTTGTCACATCTACATGAATATATATTATAAAATCGTCAGCCGTCGTTGCATTTGGGGCTTTAAGGGCTACCGATATGAGGGCATGGGACCGGCATATTCCTCCACGAATTGTCAGTACCTACCGTAAAAAATTTTGAATAACACTATTTATCCACTATGATAAAGATACACACTATTTTTTCAATTGTCTTTAAAACACTATAAATATAAAACAAACATTGAAACAAATATCTATAACTTACCACATGTCACACCGCACACAAAAACTGCTAGGTCCTTACACGTCAAGAGCTTACCGGAAAGTGTTCAAGTAATGAACATTTTTTTTTTCCGACATGGGAGGCAATTAAGGTAAAGAGGCAGTAACGTTGTTACATTGTTAACAGTAAATCTACGTTATGATAACGAAATTATAATTCATAAAATATATACATTACAAAGAACAATACTTGAAATGTATAAGCATAAAAGGAAGAGAGGAAATGTTAGTAGAAATAGTATTAAATAATGGATCAAAATATTAGTAATCGGTAATGCTTCCACGTTGGTTGAAAGTAGTGCAAAGAAAACGTGACGTTTAGAAAATGCGGGTATAGAAAATGGAAATACAGAAAACTAGACACGTATAGAAAACGAGTTTATAGAAAATGTAGACATAAACAAGATTTGGACTTTGTCTCTGCGTTTTTTTTTTCATTTAACGGAAAATATAAGGCCTGTGCATCTTAAGATTACTTCTATCCTACTCTATTTCTTCCGCTCTATAAGATGGCGGTGTCCAGTTTCGCCGTCTTCAGCCTCTACCCCCAATTTTGTTACCTAGTTGTTTATCTAACATTCAATAAATATTAAGACAAACCTTAATACAATAAAAAAATAGTCCATCCTAGTCGTATTGGTTTCAAAGAAAACGAAAACCTTTGCCTCTTTATAGAAAACGAAAAATATATAGGGGAAACTACTTCATTTGTTGAGATAACCCATGATATTAAACACAAATAAAAATAAAGAAATAATAACGCACTCATTGCAGTAGTGTGGATTATACATTCTAAGGAAGGGTAGCAAAAGAGATTACCTGCAGTAGAAAAATACCAATTTGTGTGTGTGTGTGTGTGTGTGTGTGTGTGTGTGTGTGTGTGTGTGTGTGTGTGTTGTGTGTTGTGTTGTGTTGTGTATTATTTGTTATTTAAGAAGATAATGAGGAGGAGGCGAAAGGCACGGTAAGAAAAGGTAAGAAAGAAAAGAGAAAAAAGAAGAAGAAGGAAGAGAAGAGAGTGGAAGAGGAGAAGAACAAGAAGTATAGTGATGAAGATGATAATAATAATGATAATAGTCCCTAAGTTCACCTTATAGAAGATGGAAGAGGAATAATAAGAGAAGATTGAAGAAAAAAAGTAAAAGGAGCTAAAATAAGATGGAGAAGAGAAGAAGAAAAAAGGAGAATGAAAAGAAGAGGAAAAGAACAAGAAAAAATAATAATGATGGTAAAAATGTTGGTAATTATTTCTGCTCTTTAATCATTGTACTTAAAATCACCGTAATACTTCCACTAATTGACCAAGCTTCTCTAGGAACAAATATCATGTACTGTAGTTCATATATTTCTGTTTGTAGTGATTAACATAAAAGGCGCATATGAAGCAAACATGCATTATGCCGTGATCAAAACTTATTGATGATCAAATACAGATTCTAATTCAACCCTGATTCACTATACATTATTTTGCTCTCTCTCTCTCTCTCTCTCTCTCTCTCTCTCTCTCTCTCTCTCTCTCTCTCTCTCTCTCTCTCTCCCTCCCTCCCTCTTTCTCACCATTGCCTACATTCCTATTCACTGTATTTGGCACAATCTACCTTCTGTGCAGCAGCCATTTGTAGTAGTTTACCACCATCTAGTATATTTAAAGTAATCTGCAGTCAACAAGCAGTTGTCTCTCTATATTGTACTATAACATATTGCATGTATATATATAGGTAACCTTTGCAGGAGATGGCCATTTGAACAAAGGCTTTTTTTAGAACATAAGAGATTTGATTTCATGCTGATGTACTAAATAATCTAAATCACTTCTAATATTTTACAAATAGAAGTACACTTTAATGTGAATTCACCTCGTCTCTGTAACTTTAACCTCCCCTAAAATGGTGGTAGATGTTAAAACGATTACTAACAACTGCTTGAAGTGATGTATAATATAGTATTAGACTTAAAGCATATTCATATATTTTCTCTCAAAGCAAGTTTTCTTCACAGATTTTGAAATTCATTCACATTCTTAAAACCTTTTCCTTTAGAAAACTTCAAATATACTCATACTACAGTCTGTATTCTGGAGGGTATTTCAACTATGCCCACAAAATAAAGTGTTAGTAATATGCTGCAGCTTCTCATCAAAGTTTTTCAGAAGATAAACACAAATTCCTAAGTATTTAGAGTCATAAACTTTACAGTCAAAGTTAGATTTTGTTTAGAATTCAAAAAAAAAAAGGTAATTAAAAAGTAATAAAAAAGTTAAATCCTCCAATTTGCACAAAATAGGCAGTAACGCACTCTTCTTTTTTCATACCAAAAATAGAAGTGCTTTATAAAACTTAAAATATGATGAATATAAAAAATCTGCTTTTCTATGAGGAACTAAATGAAACAAACCTTATTGTAAAAAGCAGTGTTGTTTTCAAACTATCTTTATGAATTCTCTGGAAATGTGAAAAAATACACTCAATTTTTTTTTATCATTCTTACTTCTACCACAACTTTAAACTTCTCTCTTAACTTTTCTTGTTGGAAATATCCCTTTACATTCAGTACATACTATAATCACTAATTTCCTCTGTATGCTGAAACGATAACATGTAGAATAAAAGAATAAAAAGGTTACACAAACACAACATTTTACAATATCTCTTTTGCTTTATTAAGAAACTTGTAACATGACTAGAACATATCACTTGGGGAGGGTGTGTTATCACATATGGGGCAGATGATTACCTATTTGCAGACAGGAAAAAAAAACTTGGTACCATTGGTCCAAATGTATATATACGTATATATGTGCGTGTGTGTGTGTGTGTGTGTGTGTGTGTGTGTGTGTGTGTGTGTGTGTGTGTGTGTGTGTGTGTGTGTGTGTGTGTGTGTGTGTGTGTGTGTGTGTGTGTGTGTGTTATGTCAGATATTTGTGTAGTTTCTCATTTTTCCAAGAAATCATATATAGATAAAGGTTATACCATACTATTCTAAACTTTTTTCTTTAGTAAGTCTACCCTTTTCAAGTTACGTATGTAAGAAATCGTTATATAAATTCTAACTAAATCCAATACATACACTATAAACATACATATATATATATATATATCTTTACACTTATAGTAACAGCTAAAATTGCTTTCCTCTTCTATAACGCGGTTTCACCAATCTTGGAAGGGACTCTTTACAAGGGTCTCGGCAACTGCTAAAGGAACATCAAATGTGGATTTTAGGGCTACTTCAGCTCTCAAAGGTGACACTCCAATTGGAATTTCTATCATGCAATGTATAAGCTTAATACTTTCCCTTTCATCAAATGAGAGGATCCAAAAATTAGGAATAGCGATTTCTTGATAAAATATGAAAAGGTAAAGACGAAAAAAAGGTGTCTTTTATACACTGCCTACTGAGGCAACCCAATATAAATCTTGAGATAGAATTTCTAAATACTATAAAAATAAAAACAATACAATACATACATATATATAAAGCTAAAAAACTAATAACATACTATTCAGAAAGGCTAATACAGAAGTCACGCGCGACATGACACTTCCGCTATCTGACATAAATAAACCTAACATCTAGGAAATAATAATAGCACCTATAAAAAAATATAAAAATAATCTGTGATTAGTTTCCTGAGGTTAATGGTAATGAAGAAGAGATTGTAAGGTGTGACACTCGCATGAAATGAATTTGCCAAAAACAAAATCAAATGAAAGGGTGTAAACTTTTGAAATTGGGGATGTGAACTTTTGTGGGACTTCGCATAAAATCAGCTTATCCATATTCACAGTATAATAATGAAAAATGAATACCAGCAATGTAAATACTTGTTAGTCTGTGCTTCACAGCTTCAAATACAAGAACTCTGACTATATGACTATCTTCATATCAAAAGATTCAAACTTAATAATCTATTACAAGACTGTCCATATATAATCTCATTGATGAAATAACAGAAACAAACAGTCTATGACACAACAAGTCACGACCAACAGACACACATGCACTTTCTCTGACCTAGAAAAGAAAAGAGAAAATCCTAATATACAGGCCATAAAAGACTCTGTTGTTGATACCAGTCTTTTGCTCGGTCTAGAGGGTTCTTGCTTTTGACGAGTGCGCGGACAGCTTCCTCTATCTTGGCCTCGTTCTTGCGGAGGTACAGAGACGTGTCCTCCATCATCATGGCCAAACGGTCGGCGGCAATCTCATCCAGACCGATTTCGTCACTGAGGTACGGATTGAAGCGGAAGTACACATTACCTGGCAAGAGGTCGTGCATGGTTGTGTGAACACCTGCAGGGAGATATAAAAAGTTCCTTGCATGAAAAAGAATAATTTGATAGGCTGAGACAGAAATGGGTGAAAAAAAATCATGAAAGAGATATAACAAAATACCAGAAAACACTGGCATGAAACAATAGGAAAATAAAAGCGAAATGTCTAAATGCCCAGAAAACACATATGCCAAAATTCACATGCATACTTTTATTTCATCCCTTCAAAACCATAATTCATTTCCTAAAGTCCACTCTTCCCACTGCTGTCTTGGTCAATATTGTAACATAATGTAATGTGGATGGAAAATATGATGGTGGTGGTGCTGATGTTAATAACAAAGCCAATGAAGATAATGGGGATTGGTGGTGGTGATCTAAAAAGTTACAAATTAGAAAAAAATACCTTCACAGCACATTTGATGTAACTGACATAATGAGAATAATGATGGTGATGGTGATGACAATGATGATGATGATGATGTGGGAAAAGAAGGAGAAGGAGAAGAGGGGGAGAAGGAGAAGAAGGAGGAGGGGAGAAAGTAAAGGAGAAGTGAAGAAGAAGCAGCAGGAGAGGTTGTGAAGAAAAGGAGGAGGAGAAAGAGGAACAGGTGGAAGGGAAGGAAAAGGAAAAGGAAGAACAGGTGGAAGGAAAAGTAAAAAAAAGGTTACAGAATCTGAGCAGGATGAAGAGGAGGTAATGGAAAGATGGGGAAGGGGAAAAAGAGGAAGAAGATTAGAATCAAATCCAAAGTCATAAAGAAAAAGATGGAAAGTAAGAAGCAGGAAAAGAACAAAGTGGAGGGGTAGAAGGTGAAAGAAAGGGAGGAGAGGGAGGAGGAGGAGGAGGAGAAGTAATAGAAGGAGGAAGAGAACAGGAAAGCAAAAAAAGTGTAATGAAACAAATAAAGCAAAAGATAAAAAGGGGAATGAGAATACAAAGAAGAGAAAAAGGTAAAGGTAAAGAAGCAAAAAAAAAAGAATAACAAAAATGAGCCAGAAAAAGAAGCAGAAGGAAATGGATAAACATATAAACAATAATGAAAAGAACTTGATGAAAAATGAGGATTATAACACAGATCAAATGAATAAAGAAATTGTCTAATTGAGGAGGAGGAGGAGGAGGAGGAGGAGGAGGAGGAGGAAAAAGAGAAGAAGATAATGAAAAAGAAGAAAATGAAACAAAAAAGAGAAGAGAGAGAGAAAAAAAAGAGAAGAAAAAAACAGAAAAGCTCTCACCTTCTGTGTCGGTGGCACTATTGAGGATTGTGCGTATTCTTGTGCCCCAGTTAATGGAAGACTCACTGGTGGTGGCAATGGGCTCGTGACGGCCGGTGCCCACGGAAAGCACGCACTGCAGGTCAGCCTCAGGCCACAGCTGCTTTGCTTCGTGGAGTGCGATCGCCGTGGGATTGTTGACAAACAAGCCCCCATCCTGTTTGGGAGGGAGTTAAGGTGAGTTTCATTCTAATTCTTTCTAATTTCTATTAGCTGGGATGAAAGGGAAGAAAGACTTTCTAGAGGAAGAGGAAAAGTTGAGTTGGATACCAAAACGGGGAAAAATGCTATAAATCAGTAATTTTATGCTCAAGGGAGAATCTGATAATATGTGGATGAAATACCCCATATCTTATTTACAAAACTTCAAATATAGCTTTCATGAATCTATTCATCTCTTGCTTGTGCTCTATATATCTTAACTACTGACCAATGATATGATAATAAAGTGGATTATATAAAACTGTAAGTGTATGTGTTAAATATGTATCAATCCCATGTTATTTTTACCGAAAATATGGAAATCAAGAAAAGCTTACTAATCTAAACCTGAATTTTTATCAATGTTTGAAAACAAGCCTTGTGTATTTTAGATCCTCGAATAAACAATACCGTCAATACAATAATAAACACCAATAAACAATACAATAATAAAAATATACGAAAGCCTTCAGATCCATCCTACTCATGACATTTAACCTCAGACTCACCAGCAGAATAAGATCGCCGACCCTATACTCGGAGAAATAGCCTGGTGCGGCAGCCGAGGCCCTCACGGCTTCCCACAGCTTCGGCAGGGAGCTTCCCTGATAGTGGCCGGTGACCCTGTATGGCAGGTTGTAGTTGCGGAAGAGATGGGCCTGGATTCTGTTTGTGTTGGCTGAGGTTGCAACAAGACACATCTGTTGTGTGGAAACGCGGGATGCAGTGTTAGAAAAGATTTATCACGATTTGGCTTAGCAAATATGTAAATTTCTAACTCAAAATCTTTTGTGACCATTATAAACCCAAGCCATCACTCAAGTGCTTTGTTCCCAATGGTTTACATAAACATATCAACTCGGGAAAAATATGTTCTCTTGGTGATAATCATATGAAAATACATCTTCCATTAACAAAGACAACCTTTAAATAAGATACATATCACAGGACACGAAATAAAAAGTCTTAAACTCCCATACCTTTGGGGTATCTAAATTTCTCGCAGTTTCAATGAGTGACATCTCTCCCATGTTTTCTTTGAGGATCTCCGTCCAGGCATCAGAGTCGTAGTATGAATTTTTCATGAAGAGACCTGTAGCCCCCCTAAAGGTAGTCTGAGTGAAGATCTGCGTGCTTAGCCTACGGTACAATTTTTCACAGTCGTCTAATGAGGAGCGGTGGACGCCTGCGGAAAATGGATAAGAATATGATGTCAAAAGAATATATTTAAAAGAATCAAAATAGCAGGAGAACTAAAAAATTTACTTGGGTAAACCATCAACTAATATTTAACATTCTCTTCTCTCAAATATCATCTTGTTTATAACTTGAAATTTCTATAAAATATTTGAATTCACTTCGTAGAATACAAACCAACAATTCCCTAAACCTGTATCTTTAAGCATCACCAACTCACCTATTAAAACAGCTAAGATGGCCCCAGTCGATACACCACACACGTAATCGAACAGCTCGTGAATTGGCTGGCCGGCTTCCTCTTCAATTTTCTTCAGTATTTCCAAAGCAACCAAACCTCTGAAAATGTTAGAGATTGCTAAATAGCAACAGATATATAAGTACAATTTGAAATATTCTTTCTGTAAGTAATACTGATGACTCAAATACTGATAATAATGAAGTGAATAATAACAACATCAATAATAATAATAATAACAATAACAACAATAATAATAAAATAACAATAATACTAATAATAAACACAGTAATAACATTAATAAAAATAATAATAACAATAATAATAATAACTATAATATCAACCATATGAAACAAAAGCTTTCTCATTAACACATAAAAAAAATCTCATTTTTTATTTTCAATTTGGGGCACGGGAATAAAGAAAAACCCACCTAACACCACCGCCATCAATTGTCAAAAGCCGAATGCCATGGCCTTTGACAGGGAAGGTGTGGCCAAGCAATGCCAAAGCTTCCCGCGCTTCGTACTCCACATAGCGGTCGTTCGTTTTGGTCAAAATCCGAAGCAACCTTCTTATACCTCCGTTCTGCAATGAACCAAAGAAAAAAAAAGATGAAAAGTCTATCTCAAATAAATTATCTATTGCAATCCAGTCTTCACTGCACGATAATTAACATGAAATTCTGACTGTTACTTCACCCAACTTGCAAAAATGTACACAGAATTATCAAAGAATTGAATAAATATTAATAGAATTGCATATAAAATTACCATAACACAAAAATTAATTCAGATGGTAACTTCATAATACACGACTTCAAAACTTACTGGTTACTTCCATATAACTACATTTTATGACTTCAAACCAATAAGAACATTCAATGTCACTTCCAGGCAAAAATCAACGAAGCCAAAGCTATCGCAGATCTGCCTAATGTACAAAATATAAATACTTCATGTTCATACGATCAGATCACCTCAAATATGAAGTAATATAAAACTAACTTATGATATATGTTAACTAGCTTGGTGATAACTAACTATTATCATGCTTCTATAGTACACATCTATCCACAAAAATGTACCACAATTATTTCCTGATACTTAAATCATTTTTTCAATTACCCATCAATCATAATGAATCAATTTGAAAACTAATACTACTTTTGACTGCCAAGACCCACTAAAACACAAAACACTTGTACCTTGCCATATGACAGAGGCTACACCATGACAGGACTGACCTTGACAGCAACACCTTTGGCATCAGGGTGTTGTCTGAGGTGACCGCAGAGGTCCTCCAGCTTTCTTAGTCTCCCACCCTCTGTCAGATGGTCTCCTAAACCCCTCACGAGGTATCTAGTCCTCGCATCGATGCTGGCCTGTGGAATAACTTCATTTGTTAGTGGTACTCAAAGAGAACATGCCATTGTACAGTAGCAAATGGCTGTTCCAATTACTGATGCTAACTTCGCTCCTAGAGAAATAGTATGCTTTTCCTATAACCAAAACACCCATGAAGAAATTATATTTTTCTTGGGGTTTGTCTTTACAGATCTACTTTTCTACAAATGAAGGGGAAATTATTCCACTTCCTTTTCATAAATAAGACAATTTACAAACACACCTTCACATCTGGCAGTAAAAGAAGAAATGATGATGAAGATGAAAAAAAAATACAAACAAAGAACAACACCAATAAGAAAAAGAAGAAGAAAAGAGGAGGAGAAAATGCGGAGTAAGACGAATGAGGAAGGAGGAGAAAAAGAAGAAAGGGAGAAGAAACAGAAGTTGATGAAGAAGAGAAGAATTAGAGGAGAATTCGGAGAGATGCTATGAGAACAAGGGAGAAAAGACGAAAAAAGAAAGATGATAGAAATGCAAAGAATGCAGTACAAAAAAGAAAGGAGAAGATAAGAGGAGGGAAGAAGAAGA